GTAACTTCTAATTGAAAACACCATTCACCGTAAATACTCGTTGTGTACAATCTAAAGCGAGCAGCACATTGTGGGGAACTTCTCGGAAGAACTTATTATGGAAATGATACCATCGTACATCGAGGTTCGAATGTTGGGCGCTATTGTGCGAAGATATACCATTAAATTTTTAACGATAGACCAGGACCTCAATCGATAATAATATTCAATCAATATTTAATCAGCGAGGAGAAGGCTTTTTAATTTTGTGTACTGGTCTGTAATTAAAGCAAAATAATTATGCGATATGGTATGGTAATGTGGATTGTTAATATGCCATCTAGTTAGTTGATTACGGATAGTAGGGATGGGCCATTAACGTTTGATTTTTTTTATGACAATGTATGTGATAACTCTTGAAACGTACATATACCGAAATATTTACTTTATATACAGGCTGTTCTAGAAAGACCTCCCGTAAATACAGGTGGTGATAGTACATCAAAAAATAAGAATTTTTTGTCTTATGAACTATATGTCTATCTCCTCTTGTTTTCGAGATACAGAGCGACCAAATAAAATTTTTTAAATAGAATTTTTACGAAAATTTCCAAACGGTGCGAAGTATTTTTATGAAATTTGGTATTCAGGGGTTTTTAAGGATAGATACGCTGGTCTAATTATTTTTTTGGATTTTTCATAGAGGGCGCTAGTTATGCTACATTCCTATTACGTTTTAAGTTTTAATTTTTTTAAGATTAGTTTTTTTACCATTCGGACTTCTATTTCTGATGTACAATTTTATTTTCTAAAAATAATGTACTCTTGTTAGAACTTCCTAATGTGGACAGTTTTCGAGAAAAAGGGCTTTTAATTAAACTTACAATACTACGATGAATAAAATAAGTCAAATAATTGACGTTTCTCAAAGTAGGCTTACGTCAAAACTTATTGATGGATATCTCATAAACAACGCATACATCCTTAGTAATATTTTAAACTCTAATTATCTTTGTATCAAAATTTTAGTGATTGTTAATGATTGTAGTTAGTAATGACTAATTACGGTCATTAAAATTTTGATATAAAGCTAATTAGAGTGTAAAATATTACTAAGAATGTATGCGTTGTTTATGAGACATCCACCAATAAGTTTTGACATAAGTCTACTTTGAGAAAAGTCACTTATTTCATACACCGTAATATTGTAAAAGCCCTTTTTCTCGAAAACCGTCCACATTAGGAAGTTCTAGCTAGGGTACATCATTTTTAGAAAATAAAATTGTACATTAAAAATTGGAGCCCGAATGATAAAAAACCTAACCTTAAAAAAATTAGAACTTAAAATGTAATAGGAATGTAGCATAACTAGCGCCCTCTATGAAATATCCAAAAAATAGACTAGTGTATTTGGCATCCTTAAAAACCCCTGAATACCAAATTTCGTAAAAATATTTCGCACCGTTTGGAAATTTTCGTAAAAATTCTATTTACCTAAAAAATTTTATTTTGTCGCTCTGTATCTCGAAAACAACAGGAGATAGACATAGTTCACAAGACAAAAAATTCTTATTTTTTGTCGTACTATCACCTCCTGTATTTACGGTCTTTCTGAAACAGCTTGTATATTTTAGAGATATTACTCCCAAATAAAACTTATTTTAAAGAATTATGACCAATGCCAAAATAATGCGTTTCACAAAAAAATGCTCTAATAAAACTTTTATAATAAATATATTGAAGTTAATAAGTTTTCTAAAGGCGGTCCTGTAATTAATAATTAGATAAAACCACTATTACAGCACCGAACTAAATCTGTGTATGCTGTCATTTCTATTTGGTTGGTCGGTGTGGTCGGTGTGTTAGTGTTATTTAAATTTGTAACATTTATTTGATAAACATGTTATTTTTAAGCAGCTCTTTCAGTGAATTCAATTATTTTTACATTTGTCATTGGTTTGACGAGCTATAAAATGAATGAAGGTATGTAATTTATGTATATACATATGTGTGTATGTTTATATTTCTTCTTTTGACTAAAAAAATGTACCTAAATATTTCAACTATTTATAAACTAAATAATAATAATTTACGGATTCAGCATACGATGCATATTTTGAGTCAATATAAAGTTATAATTATTTTGTTGACGATGGTTATATTCCAAAATGTAATGTAGTGCAACCTGAAGCATTATGGGATAAAAAATAGTTTATTCTAGAGTAATTCGTATAGTATCATTGCATTAGTTGTCTTAATAAAATTATTACTGAATATTGTTTAAAAGGTATGTCATTGAAAACAGGATGCCATTTTCTCATGCGGATATTTGGTCTAAAAATAAATAATAAAAATTAGGGTTATTTTTTTTAGTAATGTTTTGTGATTGTGTTCAAATGGAAGGCTTTTTTTTATTCCAAGTCGACAACATAAACCCTTTCCTACGTAAAAACGTATCTATTGTTTTGGGATAACATTTCTTAACTAGGTTTTTAGTTCAAATCCCAGTAAAATACACATACCGACAAAATTTTTAAACCAGACACCAGAATGTATTTCTCCGAAGGTTTTTGATGAATTCGACTTCATAATTACTCTTATCACGTCAGGTTTTTGAGATATCCCAACCTAAAAGTTCGGAAAAAACGTGTTTTTTTTGCTATTCAGAGGTTATGTTACATCGTGAGGTAATTATTCTCCACCAAACTCGTTATGGCATCTCCCTTTTCAAAGTCCACTTTGTATCGTTCGAATATTTTCTTTCTTTTTCGAGAAATCGTCTGTCGAAATTGATTGTCGTAATTTCGCGTATTCATTGATTTGGCATCAGATGAAGACTTAAAATGAGAAAAAAATCAAATTACAAACGCCTAAATTCTTCAGGTTTTCGGGATCGCTGATTACGAATTTAAAGTCAGAATTACAAAATACAAAATAAATTGCAGACGGAATAAAAAATATATTGAAAAGAAAAAAAAGATTGTCGTATTAAATTTCTAAAGTATAAATTAATAAATGTGAAATTTTCTTTTACGTTCAAATTCTGCTTCATTTATGCTGCAAAATAGATAGGTACATTTTAACCATTTCGTGTACGAGTTCGACTTGGAACAACTGTTTGTAAGGTCTTTTCTGTTTTGAATGTTGTATATTAAGCTGTTTAAGGCTCACTACAGACATAGTCTAGTTCTAGTCTAGTCTTCACAATTTTATGATTTTTTTTGTAAATAATCGCTTAACACGAAAAAAACAGCAAACGATTGATTAATAAATAACTGAAATGTTCCATCAATATTGAGTTTTCGAAAAGGTGTTACACTTATTTATGCAACACTGTATGGTACGCATTTGATGATAATTTCTGAGAATTTTTAGAATTAATGTGAATTAGCTTAATAGCTCTAAAGGAGAGCTAATCATAAAAAATGTATGATTATAAAACAAATGTTGAAAGATAATTTTAATATAAAATATACATAAAATATCTGGAACCTCTGTTGATTAAGTAAGCGAGTAAGCGAGTAAGTAAGAATTTATTGAAGTTCTGATACTGCACGTAATAACTTTTGCTTTACATCGAACCAGAGGGATTTCCTGTTGTACCTAATAGAAATTTTCCATTAATATAATTAAAATAATCTATAACCTTGCATATTACAAATGGAGCAAGCAATCGACATGCGAAACTTTGATGCGCACGAGTAGATACATGTATTAGCTCTGGCTGTATAAGTTTATTTAGTTGTCAGTACCGGGTTCTGTTCAGATCCAACAAAGAAGGTATTTATCTGGATTAACGTATAAAATTCAGAAAATACACAGCACGCAGAAAGCAATGAATAAGTAAAAATGTTTCGATAAAGAACTGTTTTTTTTTTTACTTCAGATCCCAGTTTATACACGTTTACAATACCTTTATTGATGATAAAAAAACTGTTTTATATTCGGCATTTTAACTCCAGGACTAGGGGCCCTAAATATCGCTGATTTAATTTTGACGATCTTTTGAACGTTTTGACGTTTATTCTTCTAAGAAGTTTGTGCTGAAATTTCAGTTTTCAGCAAATACAGGGTGTAAGAGAAATCTCAAACACTCTGTAGGATGCACCAACTTAACTACTTGAATCAGCTACAGTCGTATCTTTTCAGGACAATTTGTTTCCTGATCCACGCCATTATCTCTGTTATTACTTGAGATACACAGTAAAATTAAACAGAATTAACAAAAACATAGAAGAAAATCATGAACTTTTTGTTTTTTATCGATTTTACTGTTATGGCTTAAGTTTAACAACTTTTGTAATGAAAAGGGTCGTTTTCGGCTGTATATCTCAAATGATAACACAGACAATGGCGTGAATCAAGAGTGAATTGTTCAGGGAAGTTGAGATCACATCACATCATTCAAGAAGACATTCACTTTAGGCTAAAGCAGTGTTTTTGTAGGTTATATCTCACCTACACTCTAAACTCTAAACATTCGCTACTTTAAATAAATAATAAATCTATAATTTAAGAAAAGGAGAACATCAAAGTTAAATAATTTTGTCTAGAAGTCTATTTGCATCTAACTGCAGCGAAACGAAAATCACTTTTTTAACATACTTTTTAAAAGGCTCAAAATTTTTTACGCCCTGTAAAAAATATAAGAAACCACAATATAGAACCAATAAGCGGAATTCTCACATGGTCTAAAATCGGGAAAGTGTAGTGGTCTTTAGAATGGAGTGTATGATTTACTTCTACTAAGGAAATAGATTCTGCAGCCAAACGAAATTGTAATTGTAATTGTCTGCATTGGCACGATATGCAATTACATTTTTTATCATAAGTGAAACGGAAATATGCCATAATAAGCGTTTGAATGATAAAACATATGACATATTCCGCACCCTATATATGCAGCGTTTGTCGCAGGCCTTGCATACCTCCACATGATACAAAGAAAGTAGATGAAGCATTGTATTTACACGTTAAATGGTATAAACATCTATTTGAGCATGCGACAAAAGACTACTTACAACAAAACACAAAATGCAGCGAATCCAGACTTGAAACTTGCACAGCACCGAGGTACCAACCAACGGATTTGATCTAAGTCTGTTTTGGAATGTTTGTCATTAGAACAAAGCCGATGGACTGTGGCAAAGGACTGCAGACGGGCGAAGCTGAAGAACCACCCATTTTAAAACCGCTTCGGCAGAAGGACTGAAAGGACACAATGTGGAACGACGTTGTCAGGTGTCTTCCGAACGCAGTGTGAGAGCATGCGCAGTGCAGCGCTCCCGTGCATTTGTTGCTATTCAATTTCGTTTGGAGCTTTATACGAGAGATCGCGAAAGTTGTGCGGGCAAAAGGGTTTATCCGTGGACATTTTAGGTCAAATCCCGACCTGTCCTTAAGCACCGCCACCCCGATTTGACACCTCGCGGTACTGGAAAGGTTGGCGAAATTCGTTTCGAATAAAAACGCAAACCGGAGACTTTTTTTTAAATTTGTAGTTCCAGTTTTAAACTTTTTTCTGTAAATGTAGTAGTTTTATACAAATTTGAGTTGAATTTTTTCAACTAATGCTTGAAAACGTTACATTTCCGATGTCAGGGCTCTGTATACGCCACAATAATGGAGGTGAAACGTAAATCAACAGCTGACACGCTCGGCCGCTTTGACGGAGACACAATCTAAACGGGTCTAATTATTTTAACAGAAATGTATTTGATAAGGGAATAGTAGGTCAGGTGAACTACATACTGGGTAGAATCGATATATTTGCCACGAAAACAGAATTGTTCTAGCTCCAAACGGTACTATATATATACCCGGCCTGGAAATATGCATCTGTTGGTCGATTGTGAATAGTTTCAGTTAATTTCGAACCTATAGAACTCGACGTTTGACGTATAAACTTTGGAACGCTCAGAACTAAGTAACTAATCATGGTAACATTGGAAAGGGTCGCAAACTTTAGATTTGGTGCTAGAAATCATTTTGCTACGTGGAAAATGTAAATGAGGAAGGAAAAACCTAATTTAGCTCGATAACAGGGATTTTCTCTTAAATTAAAAAGAAAAATAGGCCAGACATAGATCATTACAGAAATTCCATCTCTAAAATCTATAAAAATTGAACATATTTAACGTCTGTATCACTTTTATTTAAACAAATATATGTTTAGTATTTATTTGCATTATAATTTTTATTCGAGATTTTGGCGGAGTCGCCAGTGCTAAAGGACTACCGCTGTAAAAATGAAAATTCCTTTAATTACAAAAGGTTTATGGCTGAGTGACTCTTTTTACGATAATAGGAATTGTAATATATGAACATATTAGAATTTTACTCATGTTTCCAAATGCTATATTCAAATATTCTTATAACTTTTAAAAGTTATAACATCTAAAGTAATGTGCTCTTTGTATTATTCTTTATCTGCATTTGATTATAATATTAATTGTTTTTTACAAATACGTGTCATGAAAATAATTGCAGTTAAGAAAAGAAGTAAACGCTGCTTATTCTAAACGAAGTTGATTTTCTTTGTAGTAAAAAGCATTATGCAAAGCTGCGCTTTGAATAAAATTATTGTAAATGTCACACAGATTTAAAAATAGAAAAATACGTAGTAGTAGTCCTTACTTTTCCGTGTAGTAAGTTTAAAATGGAGGCATTATTCAAGATTAAAAAAGAGCAAATTATACAGATCTAATAGCTGTAAATTTCTGAAATTGTCCGCAAAATAACTGCTATGCAGTGTGCAATTTTTGAACATCATCAAAACGTCGTTATCAAAAAACCTAGACGCCTTTGATGCATAGGTTATGTTTATAATTTTAGATATAAATTTCGCCATTATAAATCGTTTTAAAATTAGTGTGGAAGACATAGTTTAAGGGTGTACATTAGCTTTTTTACTAAATAAGGTACTGGGCAACTGTTCGCAGGCGAAATTTTCGAAAGGTCGGTGAAAGGTACGGGATAGGTCGAACAATCTGCATGCCTGTATTTGTGTGTGAATTTTTAATAAGCTGTCATTCGAAAATGAAAGTAATTGGTTAAAGACCCACCTGCATTGAGGTCTGACAAAGTAATCACATGACACTGTTTCTAACATTGAAGATTATCGATATCTGGTATCATGTAAAGCACGATATCCGCGCGGCCCTTGAGCACAATTAAGTAACGGCTAAACGTCTAAGGACAACGATAACAACAATAGTAAAAGCACTGCAGAGACGGCAGGTATAAGCGTTATATAGTGAGAGTCCGTAAATGTAGCTCAAACTGGAAGCGTTTTGTGAACGAGCCTTACACTTTGCCCTATGCGACATAAATAGATCGATACACCGATGGAATGACCCACAAAGCTAAAAATCTCGGATAACGGCCAGTTAAAATAGCTCTACTTACATTAAAATCTCTTATTATCAATCTACTTTCTTGAAAGACCATGTGGGAGTTAGTCTTCTTTTATTGCTAGGTACTTTTCGGGGTTAACGGGGACGCTGACGGTGGAGGAAGGTTTTTACACATGTCTTGCAACACTCACGCGATTTCAACCTCTCTTGCAAACCAAACGAGCCATTAAAATTTGATCCTTAACAAAATATTTCACCGCTTCGCTTCTTAAGTGATGTAGAAGGTTTTTCTGTCAGTACGCCATGTTGTTGGACTGGACGTTTCTAACTATCTATCTAAAGGGGAAGGGATAGTTCCTGTTGCCTTATCAATAAACTTCCGTCGCAAAAATACTATTCGGATTCACTTTGGCGTTAAAAAAAAATCACTTGAACCAACACCGCCTAGTACTGTCTTCCATCCCGGCAGCTCTTAGTTCTTTGCCGATCTGGGACGACCGTAGAGGTTATGGTGCCGTTGAGACTGCGCCTGTCGACGCAACACGTGGTCGAGGGAACGCGCAGACGCTAACTTCTTGAATGGCATGGGCCAGGCTGCCGCTCGGCCCTAACCCTTTCCTAGACGTGCCGGCGCTGGTGACGTCACAGGGTCAGTAACGTTGCGGAAAGCGTCGCCATGGTGACGGTGCCACTACCGCTATATAGTTGCAGCAAACCCGACGCCATGTTCAGATCAATAGGGGTTTTACAGGCGTGCCAGCAGGGCCGTTTCTGATACGGGCACAATCTAGCGCAATTACGTGAAGACTGGTAGGGTAATTTCATGCCTCGTCCTGGCATGGCGGAAGTTTGGCACGTGATCTAACCTGGCGGTTTGATCTACGCTAACTTGTATCGCATAAGGCCGTGCTCGAACCTTGCGTCCTAGCACGACAGTCGTTTGGTTGACGGAGAAAATCGTATAATTGTCCGTTATTTAAACAGCATTATGAATATTTTTATCGTATACTCGTTGTTAGTTTGCTAATTTCTTTGAAGTTGTGGAACGAAGGTCACAAGTTGCAAGGCTGACAGAACCGTGACCTAAATACTTGTAACTTGTTAAGGACAAATCGTTTCATAGAATTTCACAATTCCTAATGCAAAAATGGTTATTTTAACGCCAAAATATACTAAAATGTGATTTAAAAAAGTAATTTGTATCTACGTGCTAAAGCTAACAAGTTTACTCTAGTACTGGTGACCTAGATATTTGTAACTTGACGTTTAGGGTAAATCGTTAAAAAAAACGTCATACTTAATACAGAAGTTCTTAAATAGTTATTTTGACGCATATAGTCGGTCATCACCAGCGACTTCGCCAAAAATTCAAAAATTGTGATTAAAGAAAGGCACATAATTTTTGTCTAAATGCTGAAGCTTAACAAGTTTTTGCTGGTACAAGATTTAGAGGAAAAACATTATGCAAACATTATTTTCTATCATTTTTTAATGTACAAAAACACGACAGTCCGTATCACTGGCGACTCCGCCATAATCTCGAAAATTATACCCAAATGCATAAATCTTTAGTAGGTACACATATTTGTTATCTAGATAAGTGGCGCCACTTTACAAATGAGTTCAACTTTCTACAGAACCCTTCTAAATTGGCAACTAGTACCGTAGTTTTATTGGTGCGCAAATCGTAATAAAATTATAAGTCTCTTTTCCTTGCGTCAATAACACCACTGTTATTTTATGTGACAGTTTACAGATTTCTTCGGTGTTACAAATTTGAAGACGAGTTTAGTTGGATATTTTCTCAAAAGGTGGCGTATACGCACATAATACTAGCATTAATGAAAAAACGAATCAATTCACATAGTAGTAATAATATCCTGCCCTTTCCTACATAAATCAACAGTGTAGTCAAAAAATTATGGTAATTACTCACATTATTGCAATTTTCTGTTACTATGTGCTATTTAAAATAATGCTATATCAGCTTTTTATACGGGGTGTTTAAATTCGTATTTATTTCTTTACTTTAAAAGTAGTGAGCCAATAGGCATGATGACAGTAACCAAAAATCTCTAAAATTATGTATTTTTCTAATGAATTCATGGATTATGAAAAACGTATTTATTTTTATATTCTGAGCGAGTTTGTTAATATTTTTGATAAAATAAAACTACAAAATACAACACACCGCCATGATAGGTTGAACACCAATCATAGCGAATTACGTTACATCTATGTAAATGTCATTTTGTGTCGTTTGTACTTCGACAATATCCGCAGTATTTATCTTCGTTTAAATATTTTGTTTCCCAACTATCACTTGCTTAGTTTGTTACCAAAACCATAATCAGGAAACGTTAGGTATTTGAAAAGTTTCTAAAAGAAGGAAAGAATAAAGCTCAACAACTGCAAGTTAATAAAATATCAAAAAGACTATGATGCGACTCTGATCACGTTAATAATGGGATAATGAAACGCGATAGAATGTTGGAGGATGAAGTGAGGAAAACTAAGTACCAGTTTGGGGAAAAAAAATTAAAAAATGTCGTATAATGCTTTGCAAAAACTGTCCCGCGATAGCAGGATCTCCTGATGGAATCTTAGAAGACAGTATTATTGAAATTAAATGTACCACCAATATGAAGACTTTTAAAAATTATGTGGAAAAAGGAAAACCAGAAGTTTTATGTGCAGATGGCAGCAACAACTGTATTTAACAAGGCTTCAAAGGGGCTATTTCGGTGT